GCGAAAAGACCCACTCAGACTATTTTGCAAAAAATCGGGATGTCCGAGAAGAACTGAGGTGAGGCAAAATTACACGGTGAAAGCTCTTAAGTTTGTTGAGGGTTCAAAAAATTAAAGATCAGCACCGCTACTCCGTACCAGAGAGATAGATATGTGCAATCTCCCCCAGCATGGTACCGAATAGGCAACAGATCCGATGAGACATGAGGCTCTGTTCACGAAGTGCTGCGTGCACGCGATTGTTTTCTACTAGTGTTTTCGCTAGTCGCAAGGAGAGTTTCTGTCATTACAACATACTTTGTCAGGGTTTTCACTAGACATGGGTAGGTCGCTGCGCAAGCCACATGGTCCCATTACGGGGTCATACTTGCGAAGGATAGGTCGACACCTTGCTTACAAGTTTCGCCCTACTGTAACTAGAGGATGATCAGATAGATCTGTGCTCGAGGTCTAAATTGTCGACCTCTCCGGCATTTCACGTGGCACTGTAACATCAGTCATGCTTCCCCCACATTCGTAGCTCTCGGCAGCTTCGGCCTCTGCAATGTGATACGTAGCCTCGGGATTTCTTGGCCTATTTAAATCTGGACTGCTGATGGGTCTTCGGGAGCGAAGATCGACCTTATATTGAAGGTTGATATGATATTGCGATCTAGAACATCTAAATGAACTCAGTATGGGATGTGCATCAAGGGGCAGTGAAGGCGAAGGTCGAGATTCATCTAGGCCCTTCTCTACCCCGGGCCTGGTCAAAATCTAAATCCTTTACTCAGCAATCACCCCGGAGCCAGGGTTTAGATGTTTAGGGTTTAGCATGGTCAGCCCAGGGAGCATCAGCGCATAGTTCGAATCCCAATCGCGCAAGCCACATTCCTACAGAACAGGAATTAACTCTCGGATGTCGAGTCCCTGAATTCCGTGGAGATCTGCATACAACCATGCAGTTCGGAGTATGTACGAAGCACACCTGCTACATGCAGGGACCCTCGAATAGGCAAGGAAGTGATATGTGGCTAGGAAAGTAAGCTGCCTGTGTCGAGTACGGGAGTCCAATATGAGATTCCCTTCTATCTTTAGGCAAGGTATGTCATAGAGCTAGCTAATGTACATAAGCTTTTCATTTGGCGGATCGACATCTAGGGACAGCCCTGGCCCTGAAACAAAGGATGCAGACTTGTCCCGAAAGAATAGGATTGACATCTTGGCAGCTGAAATGATTCAGGGTGATTTTGAGTTTTCATGACTCGTGTCAAAACGTGTATCTTGTACAATCCACGTTATAATTTACATATATGCAGATGGTGTCTTTTACCCCTGAACAATGCAAGCCTGCAGGAGTCCCTTGTCGCGTGGCCGCCAGGGATGTTGACACCCTGGACAAAGACAATACCATGTGGCTTAAATTACATAGAGGTAATGTCAGATACAACGATACATACCTCATCACGTCAAGAGGGTCCCTGGAGTCTCCTTCGGCTCGAGTGATATCTTTCTACTTACCGTTGAATGTCTGACCGCAACTTTAGACTCTGAACAGCAAAACCTCCGCGAGCCAATCTGTAAGCGGGGCTGAATTTTGGATAGCTTCAATCCACTTCGACATGCCTGGCGGAACAAAGCGACAGGGATAGTTTCCACCAATTCTCTTCGAGTTTAGCGTCTCGCAATAATGGATCTGATGTGCGAGCACTAATCGTATTGAAAGTAATCTACATAGTATATACGTATACGAATTCCGGAGTAGTTACCCCGTACGATGATATCGAATTATTGGCTAACCCACTCCTTGAATTGCTCACTTGGTTCTGTCAGACTCCTTGAAACCAACCAAGTGACTAGTCAACTAGCAAACCCATCATTCTCACTAGAGCCACACGGGAGTGATATGAGCCAAATCGGCATTGCTCGTACAGGGCTGAGCCGAGATGTCGCGACCGGAAACTCCCTTTCCGGCGAGCTGCCCGTGTTAGAAGAGAAACAGTTTTATTCCCCTTCAATACACGTGGCACCGTTCGATCGCGTTCTTGTGATCGATCCTGCGCGATAGATCTCAATACATAGTGCAAAGTATGTCGATATGACGTGTCGCTTATTCGAATGTTCTTATCTCCTTCCAAGGTTTCTGTCCTGTGTTGTACAAAGTAGAATGAGTTCTTCGATCTGCGCTATCCAATTTAACTTTCGTTGGCTAATCTCGTCTTGCGGGGGAGCCAATCTCATATCATATGCTATCATATCACGGAGTATCTTTGCTCAATCTGTCTCTATGGCCGCGCCTGAGCGGAGTCCAAACCTTCTTTTTTTTAGGACTACTCCATAGGGAATACTAAACTGGTAATTCGTATCGTAGGGACGGAGTAGGAAATTGTTGGTCAGTCAAGGGAAAGTCGGCATCTGGCGGGTGAAACTCGCACTAACGTCTTGCATTGTTGTTTCGCGTGACATGTTCCAGGAGGTTTGGTTGGCCGGCACCGTTTCTTGGTCAGCACGGGTCTTGCTGACGTGTCTGATAGCTTGACCGGGGGCGTTGAATGGCTTTTCTGAAACTTCCAATTAAAAGCGCGGTTCATGCAAGTGAAATCCTTAGGGCCGTCTTTGTGCGTGTTGGGGGCTGTCTTACCGGGGAAGTGTAAGATGAGGCTCTCGTGTTAACCCTTAGCGTTATCTCGCTGACGTTGGTCCCCGACCGCGGAGATTGGCGACCCCTGCCTCACTGCGTATTGGTCACGTATTGCAAGCCATGAGGAAATGATAACGCGATGATTGACGATCATGATCCGCGGGTATGCGACACTAGGGGCGTCTCTGGTATTATTGGATGGCGTCAATTGTTTCGTCAAGGCGGTAAAACCCCGTGTTTTCGCGAAAACTGGACGGGGAGGAAACCTGAAACCCGCTTTTTCCAGGAACCGGAGACGCGAACCAAAACCGTTGAATGATAGGGTAATTTCACGCTTAAAATCCTGGAACTTGTTAGCGCTAACTGCCCATCGCGACCCGTAACTGAGACATTCGGCAAAGATTCGCGAGGCTGCGCCTCCTTTCTATGCGCAAAACAGTTGAGAGCGGATTCGGCGGTCAGACGCTAAGCATCTCTCTCCACGTGTGCCCACGTGGGACCACATGGGTTATGCACACCAAACGAAAAGAAGACGCTTGGAATTGCCATGGAAGCCTGGAGATTAGGATTATTATTAATCTATTTTGACCGCCTTGGGATGTTTCTAGTTACGCAAGGTCCTCAAAGGGGAAATAATATACCCCTCCCCCCACTATGAACATTCAACCTTGTGTATGACAATGAGGATTATATATTGATTAGTAACTAATCATCATGTTGTCTTCTTGCGCTGTACAATTAGTATAGTTTCGGATTGAGACCTCCCTGACATTCCAAATTAGGATTAGCGACAAGACGAAACACCGCAATGCTCGGTACGAAACAGGGAAGAAGTGTGAAAGCGTGCCAAGTTCCTAATTGCCCCACCATTGGACGATCGGAGTGAAGTGGGGATCTTTGACCCGATGGCGACATGTGATACAACAATGTATGTACGAGGATGTTTCTGATTCTCTGGAGACAACATAAATAGGTACAATAACGCCCACTCTCCGGCAACAGCCCGGAACCATGTGTCCAATATAGAACAATGTTTCTGATCTATTTCCAGGTTTGGTGTGGCTTGGATGAGGAACAAGCAAAGAATGTCCCGTTGTCATATCTAGGTTGCCAAGGGCTACTTGATAAGGTTAGAATGACTCCCATGGTAGCTATTATTGATGATTATTCAACATAGATATGTATCATAATTAGCAATATAACCTTAGATTTCGGGAAGTGTAGGGATTTCCACGTGGATTCAAGCTTTCACATCATTACCTGTTTTGTCGGGATTAGCTTACACATCGAATGTGAAATGACATAGTCAGATCTATCCCATCGAAGCCGGAGGAGGCTATTGAAAGACAGCAAACTAATATGGTAACACTGAAGATTTAGATCTGGATTCACCCGTTAATACTCCGAAGCTCCAGATGCTCAAAAGCAGACGACTAGTCCTAAGGCAGTAAGGTAGTAGCAGAATGGAACGGGTGAGGTATGCCAGGAATGTTTCCATGTTCAATGTTCAGGGTACAGGTATTACCAGTATCACGTATTACGGATTTGTTCGGTCGACCTTGGAACTCGGGCAAAAAATCAATGAAATCATTGGAAAAAGATTGCGGATCCATTTTAATTAATTTCTGTCTCTGGTTCCATAGGTTGATTTGGAATCGCCCAAACCATGAGTATCGACTATGGACTATAGAGAGGGTATTCACATCTCCCAGCCATTTGGCTCTGGTGTACTTGATAACCCCCCTTGCATGCAATTACCAGGGAGCTATTTATTAGCTAACATCCGTTGCAGACCCAGGGAGCCAATATGCAGGTATGGTATGGTACAAATATAATACCAGACCCCAGAACCCACCGATCTTCATGGCCCACGTTGTTTGGATGCATCAGGCCAAACTCTTTCGGGGCTCACGCGTGGGCTGTGGATCATATGTTGTAGGCTGACAGGCCGAATGGCGCTTCTTTTCTTTTTCTTGTCTTTTTGATTTCTTTTTTTTAATTCTTTTTCTTTTTCATTTCCATTTTCAATTATTCGGGCAAAAATCATTTTTCTTATTTTCTCTTCAATCCCGTTCTCTTTCTCCCCCCCCTTTAGCCCCATCTTCCCTCTACTCCTCCTTTTCTTTTCTATTGAAATCGATTCGAAAAAAAAAGAGAAAATAATACTAATGGGAAATTGTCATAGTGTATAATTTCCTTGCTGTCCCCCTTCTTACCCTTTTTACATTTTTGCCTTGGAGGACTTAGTCCACTTAATTCTTTTTTATTTTTTTTTATTTTTTATTTTACCAAATTCCCATGTTTTTTTCCGGTATCAGGTGTTTGGCATAATCCACTTTTTTCCTCCCTCTGGTTCAACCCGAAGACTCAAAACCATTCAATGCCAACCCAAACCGGGAGCCACAGCCGAGAATATTCTCTCCCTTCAGTTCCTGATTCTGATTTTGGCGGTATCATCTCACGCAATCGTCGTTCTTTTGCTGCCTTAGCTCAAAAGACCTCCAACGCTCTTGCTAGTCTGTCTGGAAGTACAGTACGCTCCTCCACTTCATACGGTAGCCTGTCGAGACCGCATAAGCTCTCCGCAACCCCTGTGACCCCACCATTCGACAGCGACACTTACGAGCAATTGACGGGAACCTCGCGCCCTTCGTCCCCGGCCTTGGTCGACAATCCTGCCAATTCGGTGCTCAAGCGTCGCTTGACTCTTCAGCGTCTTCCTACACCTCCCCACGAAACCCGTCCTTCCCCGCCCGCACCCAAAATGCATCAGACGTCGTCAAGGTTGTTGCGCATGACCGAGGATGAGCGCCCATTCACAAAGGTAGGCTCGCATTGGAATGCGATTGCAAAATTAGAACAATTGGGCTGATCAGCGCAGGATTTCATGGACTTGTTCTCCACATTGATGGTCAGCTTGAAGTTGGATTCGCACCGCGTTCGTTTCACTAGATATGACCACACATTCACCTCGGAAGAGGCCATCAACAACTTGGGCTCGCTCAAATTCTCCCAGTCCAACCGCATGCCCGATCCCAAGGACCCATCCCGCATAGTTACGACTACTACCACCACTACATTCTCTATGGCCAAGGAAATGGCCCGATCCGTCTGCCAGCGATTTGTCGATGCGCGCTTCATTGAATCCGTCGACGGCAGGGAGCTTTTGATCTTCCCGCTCAAGGGCGCCCTCTTCCAGCTTACCCCAAAGGGTATCAATATCCTGCAGCGTTTCTGCCAGCGTAACGGCATTACCGCTCGTCACGTGATGGATGTACTGGAGTCGCCACGCAATACCATGCAGCTGGTGAATCTCGAGCGGGACACGGATACCGACAAGCTGTCCCATGATCGCGCGACGATCGAGGTGATCTTCCGCCGCTTTGCTGGTCAGGATGGCCCGAACATCAAAAGCAGTATTTCAACCTCGGATTCGGACTCGCTTAGTGATTACACCAACGGCCTGGTTGGAGTGAAGGTGGCTCGGGAGCGCAAACTCCTGGATGGAAAGGTTTATAGCAACACATTTACCGGAAAGGCATCGGTGGACTGGTTGATGGATTGTTCGACTACTATCGAGCGCCGGGAGACCTGTTTGATCTCCGAGCTGTTCCTGAAGTATGGCTTGATCACGATGATTCAAGACGACAAGCAATTCCCGGATGTTGGGACCAATGCTCATTTCCAGCCTTCCAAGTATGCCATCTACGGCATTACCGAACGGGGGCAGCGCGTATGTGGATGGATTGCCCGCGAGAAGACCCGCGAGGTTGCGCCAACGTACGACAGTCGTGGGATGCCACGCGATTCCAATAACGCCCGATTGACCCATATCCTCCAGGATCCCGCTCTGCGTTTGCTTTTCCGTGAGTTCCTTCGCTACTCGCTGTGTGAAGAGAATCTATCTTTTTACCTCGATGTGTCGGAATTCACCACCAATTACCACAAGGCGGAGAAGATGGGTACATTCAACAAGGTCGATTCAGTGCGGGAAACTTTGGCTGCAGCATACGGATTGTACAACGCGTTTTTGGCTCCCGGCTCACCCTGTGAACTAAACATCGACCATGCTCTCCGCAACAGCCTCGCCAGCCGCATGACCAAGGCCGTGGGAGACGACGAGTCCATGTTCAAGAGTCTCCAAGAAGTGGTGCACCTGTTCGAGCTTGCTCAAACTTCCGTGTTTAAGCTGATGTCAAGCGATTCTGTCCCCAAATTCCTGCGCGATCCCAAGTACTCCGTCGTTCTACAAGAACACGATGTCGACATCATCGGAGGCTCGCGTTCATACTCGCCCACACCACCCGCTCCTCCCGCTCCACCCGCCATCCCAGAACGCAGCATGAGCCGCTCTGCCCGTGCCTGACAATCACCGCCCACAAGCATTGACATAGCCCGCAACCCATTCGAAGACGATTCGTACCACTGCGATTCCGACTCCTCATGAGCCCTTCGGTGCATTGCAGCAGCCTGAATCATTTCGACACATGCAGTCCAGCAATCCGCATTCGAACGCCTTCCCCAAGGCAGAGATCGAATTCAACCGCACTGCAACCCTGCACTCTCATGCTTGTGGCCCCAACACCGAAACCCCCGCACCATATACAAAACGGGGACACAATATCCGGTCGACCCTGAGACCCAATTTGATCAATCTCGCCCACGATCGTTCCCGATCACGAAGTTATTTACTCTCTCCTCCGCATGCAGTCCAGCCACAGTCTCTCTCGATGAGGGCTGGCTGCCATCTCCATTTTCCTTTTTTTAATCCACTCGTCACGAGATTCTCAGCTGAACGAAAGACGTTATGATCGATGGCTCATGTTATAGAGAAAGGCCGGAACTGGAAAATATTTGTAATATTTGGATGGCATTGTTTTGTTTATTTTCCTTTTCCTTTATTCCCTTACTCTTTCTTCCCTTCGCACTCTTCCCCCATATCCATATCCATCTCTCTCTCTCCCCAAAAGAAACAAACACAGAACCAGAAAACCACAAAAAAACAAAACATTGAGAACCTGAAAGATCGGAGGCTGTTTCTTCTTATATTTCTTTTTTCCTTTTGAGCATCAGACCCGGCGTTGATTGTTTATTGCATGTCCTTCTTGTCCCCCCATACATCGCATCATCTTTATCTCTTGCATTTATTGCTTTCATTTGAGCATGTTATATGATTCCATATCTTTTTGTCCTTTTTTTTCTTTTATCTCGATTTCAATTTTTCCTATCCGTCGTTTGTCCCTTAAGTTTCCCTGCATCGTTCTATCCGGGCACAGCGAGTGAGTTCTGGTCTGCTTGTGTATGTCATATTATCCTTCAATTGGGAATTGCAATGAATACGGTCTTATATTATCATATATTGCAATTCAATAGTTAATGGAGTATGCAGGAATGTAGGCAGATGTTGTGTTCTAGGAGTTAGATAGGGCTATATTGGCCCGAGGAAGAAGTGCTTGTCACGAATTATACCAGATATGAATCGAAATTACAGATTGAAAGCCCAGATCAGCTATAAATACATAAACATGATAGGAACAAGAAGAAAAAAAAGACAACCACAACGCCTAAAACTGCGCCTTGAATGCCGATGGTCATCATATTCTTAGAGAATTGAGGGTATTGAGATAAACAAGATGACAGGAAAACCGAGAAAGAGGAACCGAGACCAAAAAAAAGGAAAAAAAAGTCTACTTAGTTCCCCATCCACGAAGTCTCATGCCCTCCTCAATAGCAGTCCAAATACCCTCAACAACCTCCCGATCCCGCCAACGCCCACCACCGTGGACACCGTTCTTCTCGTCCCAGCGCTCAACAGCAAAGGTGTCAACTCCACGACCCCAGCCCTTAACCTGGCTAGGGATATCCTCCCCGCGCCATCCGATATACACACCGGTAGCGTGCTTGAACAGCTCCGGTGGCGAAGACCACTTGTACGACTTGAACTGCCAGGTCTGGCCGGTCGTGAAGACGGCGACGAGTCGGTTCCAGTACTCCGGTTTGAAGTTGGTCGTGCCGTCGACGACGATAAACTTGGTTGGGCGGGTGGGTTTGCCGGCGCGGGAGCTTGCGCTCGCGGGGTTCGAAGCGTCGCCGTTGAGACGGAGTGGTCGCTCTAGCTTTACGAGGTTGGCGTCTGTGGTGCCGGTGAGGGTTGGGTGGTCCGGAGGTACGAAGATACCTTCTTCGAGGAAGGATTTGACGTTCGACATGCGGATGAGGGAGGAGGCGGAGGGTGAGATTAGGATGATGGGGTCAGGGCGGGAGTGGGAGGAGCTCGACTTGCGCGAGGATGGCATCGAGAGGCCGGCTGATGGAGCTGGGATGGAGCCCTTGCTGCCTGGTTTGACACCTGGCTGGCCGGGCCGATTACGGTTGCGGTCGAGGAACACCTCGGCGCTCTTGCGGACGTGTGAGAAGTCCTGGGAAATGAGGCGTTAGCTTGCTACCGTCTATCGTATCCTGTCAGAGAGTAACTCACTGTCGGCTTGATTCCGCGTAGCACTGTGTTGCGGTCGCCGGTCTTGCGCTCCCCATTGTAAATCTCCTGTAGTCGAGGGTCAATCTGCTTTTGTGGGCGGCCGGGTTGAGTTCCAGCCTGGGCTGCTCCTGCGGTTCCACTGGGGACGGACGTGACGCCGCCAATTGCACCGGCGGCAATTCCCGCGGCATTATCGGCCTGCGCGACACCTGCAGCCGCGGCGGCTGCCTCAGCAGCGGCAGCAGCACCCTCGAGGGGTTTGATATGTTCGCTGTCGTCGGAGGCACCCTCGAGCCAGGTGAAAAGGTCAAGGCGCTCAAGGAAGATAAGGATCTGAACACTTTCCTCCTTGCCACCCTCTGGCGTCTGCTTCTTCAGCGCTTCGTTGAATTCCTGCGCCTTGGCGATGTACTCGGGGATAGCGACATCTTTGTTCTGCCAGGCGAAAAGAATACTGCGCAGGTCAACGGGGGCTTTGGTAGATGCTGAGATGAATCGTGTGAGTGTTGACAAAGCGATTGTTTGAGGGGCTGGTTGGGCGAAGTAGAGGTGTGTGGCTTTGGCCAGGTCGTCTGTGGCAGGCTGGTCGGACAGCTCGGACGAGGTCGTCGGCGTTGGGAGGTTGCCAGAGGCAATCGCACGTCGCAGTGCCAGGAGAGGATCTTGGAGTGCGGCCTCGGTTGCCATTGTTGTAGAATAGGGCAGTGGCCCTTGGTTGCAGCAGGTATATGTAAGAAAGTTGTCGGGGCTGAGATTGAGGAACGCGCATTTGGAGTCGAAGCTCCGCGGACTGCACGTGACACGGTATTATCATCTCGAGTCACCTTGACATTCTCCAGAAAAGAATAGTTTGATTGAATAAAACATTTCCATAGATAGCTGCTATTTGAATCTACTCATGACGCTTTACATTTGTCCTCCCTTAATTTACTATGAACCACCAACTCCTATTCTCTGCTCCTACTCCGAGACTGTTCCGAACGATCAACAGAGACACCGCAGTGCAGGGCTGATATACCGCCACATCCAGCTCCATGCACCGAAAAAGGCCGTGATGCCAGTGAAAAGGATAAGCGTTCCATACTGGGATTCAAACCCAGTATTGCCCTTCAGACCACTCTCTCCCAAAGACCCAGATTGAATCAGCACCGTACTCAACGGTCCACTGATAACATTTCCAATACCCCGTCCACCAGCAAGAAGACCAAAGACAAGCCCGGTATCCAGGGATGGCGCCGAGTCACGCTTGATCTGAGTAATAACCCCAGACCAGGTGGAGCTGAACCCACCGGCAAAGAAGCCATACGTGATGGAAAAGACAGTTAGAAGGGCAATAGCTGTCTGCGACGAGTCCGAGCCAGCCGACGATGCCAGACCCCAGAAGAGAACAACTGACAACGCTGAGCCAACCGAGGACAGCAGCATGATGTTTGTGACGGAGAAGCGGTCACAGAGTGCTCCCAGGGCTATCCCGCCAACGATAGACGTTGCGTTGAACAACGAGACCAGCATTGTACCGGTGTTCTGGGATAGCCCGACCGTCCTTGTCGAATAAGAAGGGAGGAATGTCGTCGGCAAGAAATATCCAAAACTCTGGATGATATTGCCCGTTTGCAGCATCCAGAAAGTGGTTTGTGTGAGGAAGCTCAGATCCAAGCGACGGGCTGAAGCAGATGGCGATATTGGAATACGGGGTTTCATGAATGGCAAGGCAACGAGGGTGGTTAACAACTGATAGATTTTGTCAGCCATGGTTCGGTATCAAACCCAAGACACATCTTATGCTTAACATCAAACCGAGGAAAGAGGAAGCTCATACCGTGACGACAGTCCAAGCCTTTAGCGTAGTACTCGAGCCAAACCTATTTAGACAAGCACTAGCAACGAAAGGCAAAACAACACCTGTAATACTCTTCGCCGCCCACATAGTCCCAAGCGCAAGGCCTTTCCTGCGCAAGAACCATTGATCAAGGTACAAGGAAGACGGACTGAACAAGAGCCCATTGCCGATGGCACACAGGACACCCTGTGTAGCGATCAACTGCCACACGCGCACCGCGAACGAGGACAACAGAGATCCCAGCACGGTGATGACCAAGCCCGTGGGTGCACAATAATACTGCAGACGCGGGTATCTCGTTAAAAGCGTAAAAGTGATAGGCGAGAGAAGATAGAGCAGTCCCTAGGGATAACATAAAGCATTAGACTAGAGCACAGCCGGCCTCGTTGACATATGTATCAGTTGCGTACGGTCGAAGTAGTTCCAACAGTCGCTAGGTCACTCTTGCTCCCCTTTAGGACGTCGTGTGTTAAGTGGTATTCTTGGAAGACGCCGAAAACGGTGGAGAACCCTAGATGTTGCGTTAGTGTTTACATGCAGATAGAGTCTTGCTTCGGTCACGACAGACCCCAGACTGGTAGCTGGATGAAGCAGCATGAAGCTAGCATCAGCCATGCGGCTTTCCCTCCGTCTGCTGGAGGGAGAGCGGGCTGCTCGATCTCGGGGACTTCTGCTGGTCTGGGATGCATCTCGTCCAGCACGAGGCCTTCATCGTTGGAATTGTTCATTCTGCTTTAGGATCAATGGCATAAGCATTGGATATGAGTTGGAGAAATCACAGATAATAAGAGAAGAAACGAGGGGCCGGGTGAAGAATTTCCCCGTTCCCCTCATGATGATTGAGTCATCTTACCCATCACCGTCGTAGTCAAACAAGAAGCTCCACTTAATTTGAATAGGAAAAGCCACACAGAGAGGAATACTAGAGAATAAAACATGCGAAGTCGAAAACGTTAGACAGAAAAAGTTACATTGTTCATACAAGCTATCTAGCATCTCGAAAAGAGGCCATACATATCCAAGACTGGACAAATCGTGAAAGATCAAGTGCTGCAACTCAGGCAGACACACTTCCCAAAGACCCTGACCCAAATGGTATTTCCCAACCAATCCCAAACCACGCCATACGCCATCCAGAGTCCGAAAAGTCGAAGAGAAAAAAAAAGAAAAAAGAAGCCGGCACAGATAGCCAAAAAAAGTTGAAGTCCGAACGCCGTGCCCGCCTCGCTGTAAGGTATCGAAATGAAATCACACGAGAAAAGAAATTTTGGGTCGTAAGATAACGTTAAATCCACGGCGGAATTTTCCCTTTATCACAGGCCCACCATTACTACCACGTGGATGGTCGTATTACGAAGAGATAGATGGATTTTTGGTGGGTGTTGCCTCCGGTGCGTCCGTCATAATGATATCCGGAGACTGGTTCTGGTCTCCGGGGTCGGTCTTAGGAGGTTGATGATTATCACCAAAAACCGAAGTGATAGCCAGAAAGTGTTGAGTACGTAGACGTGAATCGTCGGGAGGCGGACCAGAAGGTGGGGCAGGAGCTGGCTCCGAAGTCGGGGTGGTTGTCATTGTGCCACGTCGGATCAGATAATCACCAAGACTGAGTTTCTTCTTGGCAGGCGTACCTGCGAGTGTAGAACCAGAGGATGGCACAAGAGAGATTGGGGAGGCCGTGTCACGAGAACTAAGTGATGCGAGACTCCCCGTGGACATGGAACCAGGACTAAGGACTGACGGAATGTTCGATGGTGGTGGCATGGAAACACGCAGATAGCCACGATTGCCAGCCCCCGGAATCCTTAAGGTATGCGCTGCAGTGGATGGCCAGTAAGGTGAAATGGAGAGCTTGAGCAAATCACTGCTAGAGCCAGATGCGAAGGATCCTCGTTTGTATGAGAGAGCGCCCCGAGTATCAACATCACCTTGGACTGGTCGCGCTGGAGGGTCATAATGTATTCCTCTGATCGCAATGCCATGGTAGTTGTATTCAGGCTGGAGATACTTGGACTGGTGGAAAGACCACCGAGGGGGCATCGCAAGGGGACCGTGATCAGCAGGTATTCCCATTCGGTCGGAATCTTCCTTGAGCAATTCGATATGAGACCTGTCGTCGATTGGGAGCGGGAACCAACCGTACCACCAGGGGATGACCCCAGATGGCACGACACTCAAGTCCCCGGCCTCCCATGCATTTCGCTGGGCCAAGTCCTCTGCGATGTGATGCCCCGCGCACCACCGAATCTTATGCATAAGTGTAGGATGGATCATGTCGAGTTTGTATCCTCGCCTCAGACGTTCTGCGCGCAAGAACGAGCGTTCAACATCATCGGCGTAGAGTTCAGTTTGAGCGTCAACATAGGTAACTTGACGGGTCTTTCGATCAGGGCCAAACTCGTGGTAAGGTTTGAAGTCCTCGCCAGTTTGAGTTGAGCTCGACTGTGTCGCGGGGGTAAACCGTGTCGGAGGGCGATTAGAGCGCCTTTTCCTTTTGGCATTGACGTTCCTAACCTGCTCTAGCTGTTGAAATTGTTTTTCGGCATCCGCTATCTTACGTCTTTCGCGACTGGAGAGCTCTGGCAGAGTTAGCTGTGACGCCGTGGGACTGAGATCGCGACTGCTGCCAGTATGTCTACCACGCGCGGAGCCAGAAGTTGATCGGGCGTCGGCCGGAGGGTCGTGCTCATCAACATGCTTGGTGGTTTCGCTGCCGGCGCGACCGATATCAGCGGGGAGGCCGAGGGACTTTGGCTTCCTGGTCTTGCCCTTGAGCTTCGATTTGGAGCGTTTGTTGGGAGGGGGCTTGGCGCGACGATCAAGCTTGTTCAATACGCAAGTCTGGGGGTTTCCACAAGCACAACCACCGAAATTCGCCAATGTGGTGCTAATGCAAATAGCGGCGTCCGTCGGGTCTACCACCCTGTCTTTGAACTCCTCCTTCACTGTCGCATCGGAAGGAAAGAAAGAATCGTCGAAATACCACATGGTAGTAATTTCCGTATTGGCAGGTATGTCTCTTTTCGCAACGAAGCAAAAATGGTACTGGCGGCCATTGGTGATGTAGATTTTCAAGTTAACATTGGCCTCGCACGACCGCCGAACGTGGCGGAGCTCGTTTCCCTCCTGACGACTGTCGATGTACAAGTCCAGCTGTCGGTTGAAGAACACGAAAGGCAGGGCGTGCCCCAATTCATTCCATCGGTTGCTGTGGAGCTTTTTATAATCTTTGACGTGGCCTAGTTTGCCGAAGATTTCACCGACGACATCGTCCTTCTGAACTGGATCCTTTGTTTTCAAGATCTTGTGGACGGGGTGCTTACCACCGATCTCAATTGTCGAGTCCGTGACAGTTTCCGTTACCAATGAGGGCCAACGAGACCGATCCATGGCCTCTTCGGACCGTTTGGCGAAGTCTTCAACACTGAGTCCATCGGTAACTCGGGCCAAGATCTGTGGGTCCTTCAGCCACGCCACAATTTCATTCACAAAATCCACGCCGTAATTGAGAATACTCTTCGATTCAACAAATTGATCATCGCGGTCGTAAAGAGAGAGAAATTCTTCCGAATAATGGGGAATAGGAGGGCCAGGGATGCCTGTTGGGCTCACCGCAACCGAGGTAGACGATCGTCGGTTTCGCGCTTCGGCCGACAGACCCGGGGGAACCGAAATACCGCTCAGTGAAGTTGATGGCCCGCGAGACACCTTTGTTCTCTTCGACGGTGGCTGCTCACGGGAACCCGAGTCATGTCGTTTATGACCAAAGGCATTCACATCAGCATCATTGGACTTTCTCTTTTGTGTTCTGGGCCCAGATCGTCTTGCTTTCCGGTCGCCGTCCTCGCTTTTCTCTCGAATCCGCCGCTGCCGTTGTCGTTCGTGGGCACGACGGTTGTCAAGGGGCCGTGGCTCGCAGTCGACACAGTTGTGCACATCTGGTACCTTCTTATCCGGGTAGTAGCAGAGAATGTGCTGCCATGTCTCACACCCTTCGCAGAACACCGTGTTGCCATCATCTTCATCGAACGAGCAAATGCATTTGATGGTGTAAGGTTCTTCATCGGGTGCGCCGGAGTCAGAGGCGGCGCCGTCGACAGCAGCAGGGGACCCGCGATGGGCGTGGACCGGATAGGAATCCGTGGTGGCGTGCGTGATGGCGAGGGAGGAGGTATCTGTCATCGCCGACAGATAACCCCCTCTCAGGCGAAGACAAAATGATGTTTTCTCGACAGAGGCGTAGCCAGGCTGTCACTATTCCAGTCGCATATCAGTTTTTCTCGTGGTCGTGTCGCTTTCCAATCTCGTCTCGCTAGGACAGTGAACGCGTTGGAAAGTTGAAGACGGTGCGGTCACAAGAAGGAAGCGAAAGGGGGGTGAGGAAGTCGTAGAATCGATGATCGGAAAGAGATTAGAAGAGGTTGGCGCAAAGATTAAATGAGAGAAAACAAGGAAGAAGGGAAGAAAAGCGCGAAAAAAAGAGGGTAGGGGAAAGGAGAGGAAAAAGAGAGCGAGTTTGAGGAACTGGAGACAGAGGAAGGAGGAGGCTACGGGGGCCTAAGGCAGAGAATGGGCGGTCCGGGCTGGTAGAGAGACCATGTGCGTAAGGGTGAAAGGGGGCGATGTCTGGACTTGGGAGAAACCAGAGGACTTCGAGGGGGGTGGGGGAGGAGGGGAAGGACTCGACCCGAAAACAACCATCGGAGGGGCCTCTCTCTCTTGCTCTGTCTCTTTCTCTTGGATTTCATTGTGAAAAGAAAGACACCCCCGGGCAGGTTTCCTGGCAATTTGGAAAAATTCCAAGGTTACCGGTATCGTAATTTGGTAATCTGCAAAACCGACTGTTCTCAGGAAGCCATGGAACACGCTAGTCAGAATAGGGACTAGCGGCATTCACCGCAGTGGGGCAAGTCACGGGAATGTCATTGGGTGCCCTAGGCATCCCAGTGGGAATCAACGGGGCAATCGTGAAGGTTAGCATCTAGATGGGTGAGTAGGAAACTGATATGAAAAAAGAAGGATACATATATCCTCAAATGAATCAAGAGGCAGCCTGGGTATAATAAAAGCCATGTCGGGCCATGTAGTAGCCTTGGAAAGCGAGATATCTCACAGCGACCAAGATCCCATAAAAAATGATATAGGTCTTGAATGTGCTGGGAGGGTTGTGATCCGGCCGTCCTTCAAACCTCATAGAGACGGGAATCTGCTTGAGGGAGGACAAAGGAAATCCCATAAACTCGGCTCGGGAAAGAAATCCGTGAGAAAGTAAGGGAGAATAGGAGGCGACTTGGGTTACCTGTGGGGAAGTATTAGAAGTGCAAATGAGGGAGAGTTCCGGCGGGCCGATGAAGTATCCAGGTAGTATGAGGGAGTATAGGAAGTATGAAGAAGCAAAGTAAAATGTAACATGGGAAAACACGGAAAATGCTTGGGAGGGATCGGAGGAGATGGGGAAGGTTATGGTATCAAAGAGGGGGGGGGGGCCAAAGGGGTCATCTGTTCTTGTACGACAAGGTTTCAGGCGTGGATTGTATATCAAACGTGAAAAGCCGGCAGAGAGAAAAGGGAAAGGAAGTTGGAGAGGTTCGGAGTTGTCCCAAGTGGTAAAAGGGGGGGCTTTGTTAGGATTCCGATATGATTTGTGATTTGGCGCCATTTGCCACTACAAAAGGTACAACAAAAATAAAAAATTGTCCGGTCAGTTTTAGTATGTTTGTTGTATATAAAAGTTGCTGTATTCTATATTTGGCATTCACTAGTTAAATCAGGCCTGTTCTTCTATTTAGCAATGCTATTATAATAAAAAAGAATGAACTGAACTCGGAATAACTAATCGCTAATAATAATAACAATAATAACACATAACAATAACAATGCTAGGTCGCAGCGGTTTCCACTTCTATACCATCGAGCATGTCGCTTAATCTCCGTCGGCGATCATGTCGTACACTCAAGGCTCCGAGAACGTGGTCTGGCTGAGTCGCAACTCAAATGTCCCGGAACCCTCTGGGATTACATCGAGTTTCCCCCGATGCGGATATGTCTTCTGTGTCCGAGAATCTCTTGGTCCTTCATGGTCGCCATGGTTGTGTCCACCCAGATCCTCTTGTCTTCCAACTTCGACAGCGGGCAAAAAGTCTTGCAATCGATGGACCAAGAACAGCAGGCCGAATACCCCGATATTGACATATGAGGTGATCAGTCTGGCTGCTCGGGACCCAATAATATTTCCCTTCGGTCCTGCCCACAATCCGCCGCCCAGCAGCAGTAGGGTACTGATGATCATCCCGAAGTATGTACCGACTGGCTGTGAAGAGAAATTATACCGTTTGGTGATGTTGTTCAATCGGAGCCGGCGATTGAAGTGATGATGGATGTTGCATGACACAAGCGAGGAAATGAAACCGGCGCTCGTAACGAGGCGAAGGAGATAGGTGTTCATGATGGTACTCGGCACTTTCACGGAAGCAAATGCAAGACAGCAGAACAGGGCGGATGCTACAACGGCCAAATACGGAACATTCCAACGGTTGCGAGTGGCAAATATCGAGGGCGCATGACCGAGCTCTGACATTGCACAAAGTGTGCGAGAAGAGAGATACAAAAAGGATCGCCCAGAAGCCACCGCGGAGAGCAGGATTGCAATCATCGCGATCGTAGGTACAATTTGAATTTTTGCATCACTGAGTCCGATCAGGTAAGGGGAAAGCCCAGAACCTGTTCCGTTGTTCGTTAGGCGCGTCTCATTGAAAGGAGCCATAACGCCCATGGCCAGGGAGCTCATGATATACGGCAATGCCGTTTGAGCAACGTCGGACGTGACTCTACCGGCGATACCGGCGCTTAGCATCGTTGTTTCGCCAAGTGATGCTGGCACGAGTGATGCTGGCATTTCCGCTCGGTGCACAATCAGCTCAGGGGCAAACGTGAAAGCGATAGAGCCATCAAGGAGGCATTGCAAGAAACCCAGGAGTCGTCCCCATATGCCTCGAACTAGATACTCGTTCATGGCACCCGGAGTTTTCCAGTATTTGAATCCCCATGGGGGCTGTGCATCCACACCCCCAAGACCCAGGGCCACAGAGAGCACGAACAGGGTCGCCATTGTGCCGATCTTCATCATAGTGAATACTCGCTCGGAACTTTTGAAGAGTCTTTCTGGCAGAAAGTTGAAGCCAACAACGATGGTCGTGATGATAGTCAATCTGATTGCGATAGTGGAACCCGGTTTCCATAGGCCAAGATTGACCATCGCCGATGTAATTTCGTATGGAACAAACAAAGCGAGGGTATACCAGCGGAGGTATGCTGAAGCAAATGCCAGACTGCTTGACATGTACAGGTAGCCATTGGTAACGAGTGTGCCATGTTGCGATGGCATGTGACTGGATACTTCGGCCACGCTCGTGGTCATGGCAAAGGTCAAAAGAGATAGGATTATGTACGACATGAGTAGCGAGGCAGGTCCGCCAACCGCGAGGGCCTGGCCAGCGCCGACGAACAAACCAGTGCCGATGGTCGGACCGACAGCCATAGTGAATTAACAATGAATATAGATAATAAAGCAGTTATAGACACGAGGATAGAGAGTGGAGAGTGGTTTGGCTCGAGAGGAAAATTGTCAAGGGACCAACCACGGCATCTCCTAACATCGTTCTTTCCTCGTATGATGGAGATACAAATAAAGCAAAAACATCGACCTTAAATCCAGCACATTAGTTCCACTAATACCACCAAGTGAGATCACAGGAGTAAGCAAAAATCAAAGGTAGAGGGTATCATTGATTGCGAACAAAATAAATGGGCCTGATGGCTGAGAGCGTAGGAAGAGACAAGTGTTGGGCATTTTCAAGAATCCCGAATAAGGTCTTGCAGTGCTTGGAAGAACATCACTGAGACGCCATGTCTGTTTCGGCGAACTCGAGCCATTCTCCAGACAAAGATCTTTTCCAGAACCGAACTTTTCCATCGTCTCCTGAGGAGATCAACGAGTCACCTGGCAGTATATTAGCGAAAAGATTTGAATTAATAAATAAAGAATACTCACCAGAAAACGAGAATTGGACCTGCCACACATCGAGGTGTTTGGTGTCAATGCAAGCTACCTGTTTGAACGAGTGCCGAAATTGTGGCTCCCCGCTGGCTTGGCGATCAGTCACCGACGCAGGCACACGGTTTGCTAGAGCAGAGCCGATCCCGGATTGCGATGTCGCTCGGGGCGACTGTGACTGCGACTGGGGCTGCTTGCGAAGTTCTGCCTTCCGGCCGTTGAATATCTGTAGTGTTTGGCCAGCTGGTGTCGTGTACACTTCAAAGATGCGGATGAAACCATCCTTGCCGCCGCTCGCAATAAGATCATAACCACGCACAGAACCATTGGCCCAGGAGATGTCTCTCACAAGACCACTGTGCCCATTGAGTTCAACTGCATGGTAGAATCGTCGATTTGCATCAGTGCGATAGAGCTTGACGGTGTCCATGGCAGCCACAATTAGCGACAGGCTCTTCCGATCGGACTCCGGTAAGACAGTGTGGGTAATGTCGGTAGGATCGTGATGGAACTGGACTTTGAAACTTGTTTCCTCGCCGCGTTCCGGGGCAGTGCACACACGGAACTGGTCAATAGGCTGCCAATCTGCAAGGCTATCGGGGCTGACAGGTTCCATAACCATAAGATAGCCGTCCCGTGTGATCACGGCAAGCCATGACTCCAGGTCAATGTTGCGAAAGTCGAGTGATACAAATGGATGCCTTTGTGGTGCAGTCATGCGATAGATTGACTTGAATCGCCGTCCTGTGTTTAATGGCTGGGTGACATCTTCTTGCCAGATTTTTAACTTCATATCCTCTCCAACACTGCCAATGTGTTGGCCTGTGAAAGGACTATTCCATGTGGCCTGAAATAGTAGTTTAGTACGAGCCGCAATGGTAGCCTTGGCCCTAGCTTCTTTGGGGACATACATCGCGAATCTCGGCATCGTGCGCGCGCCAGGTGTCTATCGGTTGCCATTTGCCATCCTGTAGATCCCAAACTTTCATCCGGTGATCAGAAGAAGCGGTAACAATACGGTTGCCATAGAAGTTAAATCTGGTGACGGTGACCAGATCCCGATGGCCAGCGTCGAAGTCGGCAAATCCGGCCGTTACCTCGGGGCGCTCCATTGCCCCCATCGGAACGGACTTGGGCTAGAAGACTGACGAATTAAATATCTGGGCCAATGAGGATTTGGATTTCATGCATCTGCACGTATGAGGTATGAAACAGTTGGTTGACGTCGCCTTACCTTTATTGGTCGCAAGCATCACGGGGATGCCCTCTCACCGCTAAAATTGGCGGTGGGATAACTCTGGCAGAACACGATAAGCTTATCGAAGAATGAAGACAGATTGCGGTCGACGTGGACTTTCCCTCTTGTTGTATAGGTTAATTTCTTGTGAATTTCTTGTGAATTCCTCATTGCAGCAGAGGGGCCTTGTCCGTGCCATTTTGGTCGTGTGTCCGCCATGAATAACCCAAGCACCCTCTCCCGTAAGGAGACTTGGCGTCTACTGGCACTCGTGGGGGCCGGTTTAGCCATACTCAACGCCACGTTCCAAGGCGATGGGGCGCCTTTAGTCGCTTCAATTGCACTATGTGGCATAGTATTTGCTGTGGCTTTTAGTCTGATCAGGTGGCTCGGCCCTGTATTTTTGAAAGCAGGACTTAAAGGCAAGGATATGGCAAAGCCTAGCCGGCCCGAGATGTATGTATATGGCTCTTGAACTTGAGATCATATTCATAGCATGTACTAATATCTTGTTCTAGACCTGAAACTATGGGTGCAGTCTGCGCAGTTGTGTATCTGATGGCGCTCATTATGTTCATTCCTTTTGCCTTCTACAAGGATATCGTTGCAGCCACATCCGGAGGCGGAAACCGTGACGTTGTGGTTCCATCGCAACATATTGAGAATGGCCGATTTCTTCATCGATTTCCACATGGCAAGGTGAGTTCTGATTTCAATTGACTGAGGCATACCCAATTTAATGTGCAATTGAATAGCTCGCCTCCTACCTTTCTGGTCTTCTGTCTTTGCAATCCGTTGTGATTCTCGGAATCGGTGATGATCTATTCGACATTCGCTGGAGACACAAAGTCCTCATCCCTGCTTTTTCCGCAATCCCCATGCTCATTGTGTACTTTGTCGACTTTGGCGTCACTCAAGTCGTCGTGCCGGTGCCGCTGCAACCTTACCTGGGTGATGTTGTCGATCTTGGATGGCTGTACTACATGTATATGGCAGCGGTGGCAATCTTCTGTCCAAACGCGATCAACATGTTGGCAGGCATTAATGGTATCGAGGTAGCTCAGTCACTGGTGATTGCGATCCAATTGCTATTCAATGATGCGATGTACCTTGCACCTATGACACCATACCCGCACCCTGCCACCGACTCGCACTTATTGTCGATGTACTTCCTGCTTCCATTCATCGGTGTGTCGGCAGCCCTTCTATGCCATAATTGGTATCCGTCGAAGGTGTTTGTGGGCGATACATACTGCTATTTCGCAGGAATGGTGTTTGCCGTGGTTGGTATCCTAGGGCATTTCAGCAAAACCCTGTTACTACTGTTCATTCCACAGATCTTCAATTTCCTTTACTCCACTCCCCAACTATTCCATCTCATTCCTTGTCCTCGTCATCGGTTACCAAAGTTCCACGCTTCCACTGGGTTGCTGGACGCTTCAGTCACGGAGTGGACGAGTCCTCCTTCGCACTTCATCGATACCGTACTACGCTTATTACACACCTTGAAACTGGTGCGAATCACCCAAGACGAGAATGGTCGAATCACTGAATCCAGTAATCTCACCATCTTGAATCTTTGGCTGGTGTGGGTGGGTCCAATGCGAGAAGACCAACTGGCGTGGCACATGGTTGCAGTACAAACTGCCTGTGGGATGCTCGGTCTGTTCGTCAGACATCGCCTTGCATTGCTCGTGTTCCACCATGATAATAGGGAGTTCGGTTTTATCGCATAGATTTAAAATTGACCTGGGTTGCGAGAACCCCGGGAACAGGCTCATCATAGAAGCATCATCATTTCAATGTATATATTTTGAACGCGGAAGGTGATACACCAAATTCTAAATTAAATGTTCTTGTGCTGTACCAACTTTTAAAATATTTGCGCCAGTATACGCTCCAAACAAATTACTCCTGATCGACGGCCTCGCGCAAACCAGGAGTCTCTCTAGCGATCTTTTTATCCTCAAAGGCTGTTCCGATGTCTTTGATAATGATCCAGGTAGGGATTATCGCGATAGCCCACAAGCCAAAGTTGAGATAAATACTCCCCACCGCGGCCATGATGTTCACGCTGCTTAGACCGTACTAGAGATAGCTCGTTAGTATTCATGTTGCACGGAAGCGAGATAAGAGGTGTACGTACGCTGACACACTGAGCTGCGGATTCAGTTCCACGCAACAAGCCCGCAATCCGGACGACTTCTTCTTGATCATCGGCAAGGTTGCCCACCAAGAAAAACCTGATCAGTTAGTAACATGGACTGAATAGTCACCAATGGAGATTCAACTTACAGGTACATATAGTTGAGCTGGAAGCCAGCAACCCAGAACAGGAAGAGGGCGAAGGCTCTCCCGAAGCCTGGAGTAGACCAGTCATATGTCGGGTGTGTTTCGTTAAACTCGGTTGTCACCACTGTAGCCCAGATCCAGCACATGCCTTGCCATGCGACAACGAAGTAAAACGCGTATCGAGTTCTGTTTTTCAGGGATACCCGCTTGCTGTCAAGGAAGGCTCCGAGAATGTTGCCGATGGTTACAGCGACCACACCGGAAAGGAATGACCCGAGGGCTCTGGCTCGCACCGAGAACCACAATCCCTCGTATGAGAACATCACAGCCTCTGTGTACACAGCCTGGCAGATGAACGGAATGATGTACAGGAACTTGCGATTGATCCAAAGCTTCCACATGCTCTTCAGCTCATGTGTGATACTTTTTGTCACCTGCAGGTTAACAGGGACTCCGTCTTTTCGCTGGACCTGAGAGGGATTGCTCAACAGCAGACCAGCAAAGGGGCCGAGTGCCTGCAGCGCAATGAAAATCAGGTACACAGTGTATGAGACAGAGCCCGAGTTCGACCGATTGGCATTGATGCCCAGGTTGATGGCACCGCCGAGGATTTGTCCTCCAACACGGAAGCTGAGCCAGAATCCCAGGAAGCGGCCTTGGTTGTATGGCTCGGGGTACGAAAGTGCAATTGCTGCCTCTGCCATCCAGAAAATACCGGCCGAGATGCCGCAAAGTGCCGCGCCCAGGAGAACCAGCCATTCGACGCCAAATCGGTTGTTTGTGTACAGCCCCGCTGCGTAAGGTGCGTATCCCATTGTTCCGACGATGAGTGCCCATTTGATGCCGATGAATCGTACGAGGACACTGCTGAAGAAGCAAGAGACGACCATAAGACCGAAGGTCAAGGCGTTCGCTGCGTTGACGAGGTAAGGTTTCTCTTCACCTCCTCCACCCAAAGAGTTCATGGCGCCCCAGATTCCAGGGGCGAGGAAGTTGCAAAGACCGAGGATGAAGGCATTGTAGAATGTCGATCGGTACCACTTGACTATCAGGGTCAAAGTCAGCTTCATCGACGTTGGACAGGAACATTGTTCCAAACTCACCTTTATGTGGCCCACCAACGGGCGAGGTGATAGAACCTGCACTGTCCACCTTCTCACTCGGGACAGCTTCCTTTTCTGAGTTCGTCATAATGAAATAAAAGATATAATTGAGTAGTGAATAATTTTTTTTTTCACAGGCGTTGTGGTGGTTTATAACCTTCGCGCCCACGAGGTCTATACCACGTTGTCGGCTGTACTGCCCCGAACGATCTGCTCCGCGAATGGCAATAGCGGAAAGGACTGGTTGTTTCGTCTCGCTGGACCCCTGTCTAGCTTCCAACGGCTCGAGCTTGGACACCCAGTCAATGTTGTCGTTCTACGGTGGAATTACGTGCTCGCACGGGACTCTTAGGAGATGGGCAGAAATCCTGCAGGCGAATATCCCAAATTGGAAAGTTTATAGAGTAGAGTTCTTAGGTCTAGTGAAGAAGAGGCTTGCCAATGCTTGCCAATGCTTGCCAATGAAGGTAATATCTAGGGAATTGATAATAATCCAAGGAATTCTGAGTATGGATGCATGGGAACATGGAGGAGATACCCTATGAATCCCAGCTTGTATTCTAAACAACATAAGTACGTAAAATAGACGCGAATTACTCCTGACTAGTATACGCAAGTGGTATTCGGAGCTTTACTGTACCAATCACTATAAAAGGATATGCTGTTACAACTTATGTTGCACAGCTACAACGAACCTCAGGGATCACATATATATTCCATATCCACAATCACCAACTACGTATGTTGGATTAAGTCGGTAAATAATTTCTTCCGTACTCCATAGATAAAATAAAAAATAATATCTCAACAGATCTCAGAAGCCCCGGATATTCGTGATTCAGGTCCTTGGTGTTGACATCTTAGGGCTAGAGGTTGCGAGTTTTCGTCATCGCAAGCCGCGATCACATCAGTTTGGATAAACTCAGAAATTCGAGATTCGAGAATCCAATTTTTCGATTTTGTACTTCAACAGAGTCGAGAATATTCAATCTCTATTGATCTATTGCATATATATAGCCAATCAAATTTCTATTAGATCCTTTGGTCATTCCAATCCTTACAGTCCCCCATCTTTCGGCAGATATAAGAGCGTTGGATCGACCCTCGGCCATCTAGTTTATCACGCCATAGATGCCCCGCCATGAGCAATGGATAACGACTACGAATAAGGCCCCCGGAAGTACGGAAATGTCCTCATTGCGCGAATGTGAGACGAAATTATCCCATAGATCTTGCAAGAAATCTCAGAGCCAAGCGATTAGTGGAGGTACTCCGACCCTATGTACGTGCTCATGGGAGGGATTCGGACCACTGCCCCGCGCCCTAAATTGAGGCGTGCTTTGTCTTTATCTTCTCGCCCGAGAGATTATATAGACTGGGACGAAGCGCAATATAGATAGAAGCCTAATAGTTGGGTTGGCGTTTTCTCTGCGATCTACCTTCCAAGCCATGCCATTATTACCCCCGTGCACCATGTCGACTACCTCTACTTGCCTCCAACTCGAAGAGTTGCAGAAGACCCCGACTACTCTGTTTTCGGAGTCTGTCTCAGATTACTCTGATGTGTCAAGGTCGGAGAGTGAACCCCCGTCGCCGCGGTCTGAGGCGGCAAGACAACGAGTCTTGCTTCTCAAGGGGGCCCGTGAACAGTACGCCCTGGTAGATGATCATGCCATTCCTTCGGTTTTGCATGAGGGAGAGATCCTTGTCAAGGTACGACAGGCCACCGGATCTTGTATAACACGAGATGCTGACTGTTGATCTGCAGGTTCTTGCCATCGGCCTCAACCCCATCGACTGGAAGGGACCGTAAGTTGTACGATTCTGGGCAGTTATAGTGCATGACTAACAGATAAATTGATCAGTGCATTCAACTTTGGTATCCCTAGCCTGCCATGGATCAACGGGCGGGATTTGGCTGGCCTTGTGCTGCAAGTCCCCAAAGGCTCATCCCGTCTTCGTGTAGGCGATGTTGTGATGGTCCCATCAACAGATTACCGGGATATTAGGAAAGCAGCATTCCAAGAATACGCCATTGCCACCGACTTCAATGCTGCCCGAATTCCTGCTTCAACATCTATCCACGCTTCAGCTTCTGTCGGAGTCGCATTCGTCGCTGCTGTGCTGGCTTTGGGTGTCTCATTTGGATTAGACTTTTCACTCATCACACAAGTGCCCGGTCCTAATTTGCCCAATATCATCAAAAAACTCAATAAGAATGATATACCCGCCGACATACATGAAGAATGCTTTGCATCATTATTGGACTCAGAAAAGCCACAACGCGGAGACTGGGTTGCTATCTGGGGAGGTAAGAATCAATCCGATGTTACTACCTATGAACTGACCACTGACATTCATACTGCAGCATCAACAACGACTGGTTTGATTACTCTTCAGCTCGCCAAACTCGCCGGGTTACGCGTGATTTGCGTGGCCGATGCAGCACGACATGGTGCCAAGCTTGTGCAGTCCGGTGCAGATCTGATAGTCGATCGACATGACCCTGATCGCGCAGTGGAAATTATCCGCGGTGTCACCGGGGGCAAGCTGCGATATGCCATTGATATAGTCGGAAGAGAGACAGCAACACAGCTTGAAAAGGCGCTGAATCCTGATGGCCACGCCCACCTCCTTGGATTAACTGGTCTGCCCAAAGAGAAGAATCCCGGTGTACAATATCACACTGTGCCTATTAAGCTCTTCCATTCAGCCCCCACAGTGGGTGAAGCTATGGTCTGCTGGTTGGAAGATCTTCTGCAATCGACACATCTTACATTGCCAGAGATTGTTCATGCAGAGGGTGGGTTGGAGGGTATTAATGCGGCACTCGAGACCTTGCGGAGTGGCTCAGTGTCTGGAAAGAGGATAGTGGTCGACCTGGGCGCTTCGTCTCGGTAGCCTATGGGCAGCGGGCTTGCGTGCTTTCTTCCTTGATGAAATTTTGCTTTATAGATATACAGGATTGGCGTTTTTTGATACCTGACTTTAGGTAGATCGTTAGATCATGAACAAGTTCAAAAAACTTGACAGTTATGTTTCCGAGAATATGAATGCATCTGATATTGTGAAATGACTCCCGAATGAGAAGCCAGATCAACGTACGGAGTACTCCGTATACAACCCACATTCAGCCGATGAAGGAGTATATTGAGGCTCCCCGGATGCGTATTCACAGTGCTAAGCGTATAAGCGTCGAGCCAAAAACCGGCGGGCCGATCGGAGGCGGAACCTTGGGAAAGTACAGCCAATCAGCGCGCCTGCATTACTTGGGCCGGAGCGGTCTACGGGTATCCGCCACAAAGCGTGATTAGCCGCGTTCCCCTTTTTGGATCGTCCAACGCCAACCGATATCGGCCATCCGCCGTGCTACCACATCGGCCAATAAAATTGGTACCATTCGCCGCTGACCGGCCGAGATCGGCCTTGCCCCTCAAGAAGCTCTCCAGCGACATCGCGGATGTTCAGCGCAGAAAAATATAACAGGCATTCCCATTCCAGTTGCCCAGATCTCGGTACTTACTATTTACTACTATATTGCTCTTCATCAGAGCTCCCTATTATCTGCTCTCTCTCTTCATTAAATCTTGTACTCTTATATCCTCTCTCCCAGCAGATTTCTACTCTCCACCATCATGCCTTCTGCCGTCTCACAACCCAAGACCTTGTATGACAAGGTCTTTCAAGACCACATCGTCAACGAGCAAGACGATGGCACTTGCCTGATCTACATTGACCGACACCTGGTTCATGAGGTTACATCTCCTCAGGCCTTCGAGGGACTCACAAACGCTAGCCGCTCGGTTCGCCGACCAGACTGCACTCTGGCTACAGTTGATCACGTATGTTCAATCCCATATCTACTAATAACTCGCGACTAATTGGAGGTTTTCTTCGGATAGAACATTCCCACCACTTCACGGAAAAATTTCAAAAATGCCGGTGACTTCATCAAGGAGAATGATTCGCGTCTCCAATGCACAACCCTGGAACAGAACGTGAAGGACTTTGGCCTCACTTACTTCGGTATGGGCGACAAGCGCCAGGGTATTGTCCACATTATCGGCCCCGAGCAAGGTTTCACTCTGCCTGGCACAACTGTCGTTTGCGGTGACAGCCACACCTCCACACACGGTGCTTTCGGTGCCCTCGCGTTCGGTATTGGAACCAGTGAAGTCGAGCACGTCCTCGCTACCCAGACACTCATTACCCGCCGCAGCAAAAATATGCGCATCCAGGTTGATGGCGAGCTCCCCGCCGGCGTCACCAGTAAGGATGTCGTTCTCCACATCATCGGTGTCATCGGCACTGCTGGTGGTAACGGTGCTGTTATTGAGTTCTGCGGATCTGTCATCCGTGGACTGAGCATGGAGGCCCGTATGTCCATGTGCAACATGTCCATTGAGGGTGGTGCCCGTTCCGGTATGATTGCGCCCGACGAGATCACCTTCGAATACCTCAAGGGCCGTCCTCTGGCCCCCAAGTACGGTAGCGCAGAGTGGAAAAAGGCCGTCAGCTACTGGTCCAGCCTGAAGTCGGACGCTGGGGCCAAGTACGATACCGAGGTCTTCCTTGACGGCAAGGATATCATTCCCACCATCTCATGGGGTACCTCTCCTCAGGACGTGGTCCCGATCACTGGTGTTGTCCCCAGCCCCGACGACTTCGAGGACGAGAACCGCAAGGACTCTTGCAAGCGTGCTCTCGAGTACATGGGTCTTGTCTCTGGTACTCCTATGAAGGAGGTTGTGGTTGACAAGGTCTTCATTGGATCTTGCACAAACGCTCGTATCGAGGATCTGCGTGCCGCGGCCAAGGTGGTCAAGGGCCGTAAGGTTGCCTCCAACATCAAGCGTGCTATGATTGTCCCTGGGTCTGGTCTCGTCAAGGAGCAGGCTGAGTCCGAGGGCCTCGACAAGATCTTCACTGATGCCGGTTTCGAATGGCGTGAGGCGGGCTGCTCCATGTGCCTGGGTATGAACCCAGATATCCTGTCCCCCAAGGAGCGCTGTGCTAGTACCTCCAACCGCAACTTCGAGGGTCGCCAGGGTGCCCAGGGCCGTACTCACCTCATGTCCCCCGCCATGG